AGCCGGAGCCCGGCAGGCTGCCAGCGCCATACGTAGCCCACCACCCTCTCCCTACCAGGGTCTTCTGAGGGCTGCCCATAGTGGACACCGGCCACGAGATGTGGTTATGAGCCTACACACAGCACAGCGTTGCTCTCCTGGGAGAGAGCTGCACATGGAGAACAAGAAACGCTGGGAGCAGGGACATGCAAGCAGTGTTGAAAGGCGCTGGTCACAGCCAGCTCACCTGGATGAAGCAGCTTTTGAGCCTTTCTTGGACTTCTCCGGCATTTTCTGTGGGCTGTGGCCAGCCACTGGACTTTGGCAGGAGCACAACAGCTGTTGCATGGTCATCACGACTGACCTGGTGTGAGACAAGCCACATGGGAGTTACCTGAAACCCAGAGTCCAGCAGGACCAGACTCTACTGGAAAATGCAGCCAGAGCAGCTGGGCCTGAAATCCTCCACGACATGAAGGGATACAACTCAAGAGACATTCTGCAGTATGGTGGGCATCTTCTGGAAACCCACCACCATCCTTTGTGAAAGCTCAGGGAAGAGAGTAAGACCTTCTCTATTGACCTTTTAGGTGAAATAAGCTAGAAAACATTTATTGTTGTGTATTCCTAAAAAAAAGAAACAAACACAAGTCTCACAAGGGCTTGTGAGCATCACTTGCAAGGTGCACCCACAGCTGCCGAGCTCAGGCCTCAGCCACACACACATCCTCTGCTAATGCTTTGGGCAAGACTTCAGGTGCTGCACTCTCTGTCTGTTATCATTTACCCCCTGTGCTTTACCTCGGGGAGCACTCTGAGGGCAGCTGGTAAATCCACATGATACCTGCTCTTTTCCTCCAGAGGCTGTTGCTTATTTCAGAAAAATTCAGCAAACAAACCAATGTCCCCGAATCACTATCTCCCTCCAGCCCAGCTGGACAGGCAGAGTGTGAAGAGCTGCATTGCCTGGTCATGGCTCTACCATAAAGTTGAAGCCCCACTTTCAGCTGAGCAGCAAAAATAGCTGGGGGGAAAATTTTCTCCTCGCGCTTTGCACTCTGCTGTCATCTGCCCCAGAGGTGGTGAGAGCCCAATGTCTCCTCTGTCACCTCAGGCACATCCTGGACCAGAGTGACTGCTGTCAGATCTTCCCTTTGCTGGGCAAAGAGGGGTAATTTTTAAGCTCACATGAGCTAATGTGAAAGTGCCAATGGAGATGTGGTGAACTTTGCAAGTTGAGTAACTAATGTTACAGCCTATATTTTACCTTGGAGTGTTACCACGTTTTACCTGACCTGCAGTGAAGTTTTGACACCTATGTGCTACCATAAGGTTAAAAAACCCAACCAGTTCTTCCCCACACCCCTCTCCCAGCTCATCACCTAGTGCTTCCCATCCCACAAACTGACGCCTCCACGGTCCCTCTCCTGAACACCCACAAAGCCCAAATCCAGAGACCAGACCTGGCCCTCAGGGTCTCCATGGCAGCGAAGCCACCAGCAGCACCTGTGGTGCAGGGGAATGAAGCCACAGCCCCCTTTTCACGCAGCTCCTGCTCCCCACCACTGCTCAGCATGCACCCTGTGCTCTCCACAGCCCCTGCTGATGCAGATCCACGCTGACAACTTCAGAGTCTCTTTGGGATGTGCCCTCTGGGCGATGCTTCCGTAGGGTTTTGCTAAGCACTCGCAGGTCGTGACAAATGTCCATCCCATGACATCACAATCAAAATGCATCACTCCAAGAAGGCCTGGGCACCTCGGTCCTGCCCACAGAAAGGTGCCAGCATCATCTACTGGCACGAAGACCTCTGACATCTCCATCACAAGCAGAGATGAGCATGCTGAAGTGCCAGGATCTTCCGAGGGAGGCAGAAATCCCATGGATTGCTGGATTCACTTCCCGTTACAGACAAGCAGCCAGAATCTTGTAACATCTGCAGTCTCCTCCTCTTTGTTTTACATAACAGGAACCAGTTTCTGTCGGTGCCAACCATCTCTCCCTGCCAAAGGCAGCAGAACACAGCCCTGAACACCCTGCCAAAGCCCATCACTGTCACAAGTGCCACTGTGCTCTGCAAAGAGCCCCAGCTGAGCAGGGATGTGCTGGGCTCACGCCAAACATTCAGATACACTTCACAGGGTGGGCAATAGGCCAGGGATTTAGGTTATATTAAAAATAGCTCTGAAATTCAGGGATCTCAAGGAATTTCACCTCCCCTCCTCCCCAAAACACCTGCCTTCCCAGCTGTATGGGCAAACCTATACACAAGGAATCTCTCTCCTGGTCTACAAAACCTCGCCCACATTTGCCCTAGCTGGGACCAAGTCATGGACTCTGTTTAGGGCAGAAAAATTGCAATATTTGTCAAATGGAGGAGAATAAAATTGGCTGGATCAAACGGGATAAAAATCATTTGGGTTGAAAGGTTTCAGATTCAAGTATGAAGGTGAAAGCTGAGAGAAGAGCCTAAATTCACTGCAGTGTCTCAGAAGAGACTGAGATCAGGTTTCTGCTATTTGAAACATTCTGAGCACAAAAGTGATGCTAGAAATCCTACCGCCTGCCGGTGAGCCCTGAGGGGGTCTCTCTACCTCTTACAGAATCCAACTGCATCACTGGCTGGGACGGACACTGATTCAAATCTCATGAGGAAAAGGAATAGCTATAAATAAAAAAAAAATTGAAAAATTGCCTTCCTTGCTTGGCTTAATTCCCCACTTGCAGTTCAGCACCCTTTTGCCAGCCATTGCTGGGTGTTCAGCCAACCAGCTTAGAAAATGACCTAAGGAAACCATATTCTTGGTGTTCCTGGTTTTAGGCATCCCGCGATGCAAGAGAGCTTACTCCTTTCTATGTCACAGAGCAGGAATAAAGGAAAGGAGTCACCTATTTGGAGCTGAGCTAAGGCACTAAAGATGCAGTAGGTGAGGAAAGAAGAAACACAGCGGGAGGAGGACAACTTCCCAGCCACGATGTCCCAGAAGATCATCGTTCTTTTCGCTCAATTCCCTTAAAAAACCCAACATTATCTCTATAGAAAAAGAGAAGCTAATACAGTATCAGAGTATCCCTGTTGGGTTTTCATTTTAAGGTTTTGTTGTTCTCCCAGAGAGATTTGTTTCAGATACCAAAGTCACAAGAGCTGTTTCTGAAGAGGATTTTGGTGAGTGCAGGCAGTGTTACCTGAGCAGCTCCGGCTCATCACAGCTCTGGGTGGATGCCTGTTCTGTTGATTTTCCCCATGATTTCCCAGAAAATCGGAAGCCTGTCCCTCTCACTTTTTGGCATGATACTGAGATAAGCCACCGAACTGTGCTGACCCGACAGGCGCAGTCTCTCCTTTGTGCACAGCAGAGGC